CGCACCGCCGAAATTAAAACACTTTCAGTTTGTCAATTAAATTGACACATCAATTCAATTTATAAGTACCCTTCCAAATTAAAACGATTCAAAACGGATTAATATTTAACTACTTCAAAACATCTGTTTGTAACACATGACAATATTGTCAATATTTTTTTTACGTTCGTTTTAATAATTGTTTCCTAAAACAATAATTCGTAAAACAACATTTTTAACCAAATTTCTTAGCTACACTACATTACTTCTACATGCTTATAAGGGCTTTGTTTTACGTATGTAATTTTGTATTTAAAATAATACTCATAAATAAACTTTGTATATATAAACTTTGAAATATACTTAAAACATATTTTGTTCTTATTTATAAATTGTCTTAAGAAATTGGATTTCTACATTAGAAAATCATATGTTAAATTAATTGTGTTACCTATATATGTAATTTTGTACGTAATACTGAAACTTCTGATGTAAACCACAGGAAACAATAAACACGCAATGACGTGGTAAAGAATGCATGCACATTTGGAAATCGTGGATGCAGTTGCAATGATCCTGCAAGAGCCAGAAGGACGTAAGGGGATATCCTTCTGCATATTTTCTCCTTCAGCTTCTGTTTCCATCTCTTGGACCGAACGGCTGGGGAGAAATAAAAACCCGACTGTTACGTTAGTGTTTACAAGTTTTATTAAGTTTTAGAACGTAAGATAAAATGAGATGTTGCCTTAAATTACCTGAATAGGTCTCGAGACCTTGCGAACGCTAATAATAACAGTAAAACCGCAGCGTTTCCACTGCTGTGGAGGAAACAACAAAAAAAACGAAGAACGTGGAGCCCGGCCGGAACACGGACGAGACGATGCCAGGAGCAGCACAGAAGTATAAGGAATAGAAATAAAATAACGTAAAAAGATGCGAAGGATAATAATAAGAAGAAGAAGAAAATAATAAGGACTTGAAGGAGGAAGAACCGCGGTTGGAGTACACAACATAAGATAAATACGCGCCTGTCAACGGCAACTTTTTTAAATTTAAATTTAACTAATATATATTTTTTTAATTAATTTTTTTACAAGCGCCAAATTCAATTTCTGGTGTGTACATTCCTGGGAGCGGTTTGTTTTCTTCCTTCCTCCCTCAGCCGCTCCCTCAGTCAATTCTTCTTCCTCTCGATGTTGTTTCTTTTCCTTCTTCTTCTCCTTTTTTTTTGCTTTAATATGTTTTAGAGAGGCAAAAGGCTACGCTCACATACAGACACGCACAAACACATACTAACACACTAACACAGAGAGAGAGTGCGTCGCGACGCTCATAATAAATGGGCCCCAATTTTTGACTCCGGACGTTTATTGACGCGACATCTCTCTGCCACTTCTTCAAGCCGGAACACATTTTAATAACAAAACTTTAGATGAAAGAATTTTATATAAACCCTAGATTCTCTTCGTAAAATTGTTCCTCCTCGTATACTTTGTAAAGAAAATATATATTTCGCAAAGTGACAGACAGGAATTTCAAATTTACGTAACACATTATCAATATTATACCAAGTTTGATGCTTACATATTTTTTTTTTCTTATTTACATTTATTTATTATCACTTTTTGATGCTTTATATAAAAATTTACAAAATATTTTTTACAATAAATTACTTTATTTTTATTTCAAGAATATTTTTAGTGAAATTGTCCAAAATCTGGTTTATTGAAAGAAGCTGTTTTTTTTTAAATGGCATTTGAACATCACTTAGCTACGAAGCTTACTTTGCGTGACCGGATTGTTATGATGACATATTTGTAAATGGATTATTAAAATACTTTCTTCAGGTGTTAATGTGTTAAAGTGGAACATGTTTGTTTGAAGTTTGCGTGCCTATTGTAACTAATAACATTGTGTTTATCACAATAAGTTGGAAAGTTCTAAGAGGCAATCACGAAGTGCTATTTCACTTTAGGTAATCATATAAATATAATAAAAAAACTTATCTTTCTTACATTATGTAAGAATTCTAATTGTTATTTTTCAAGTACACCCATACCTCGCTTTACGCTTTTTGGCCGTATAACGAAATGTGATTTTATTTTAAAATTCCCGTTTCCCGGGAACAAATGTAATCTGAGAAAAGTTGCCTTTTCATACATGACTGTTGCAAATTAGCAAGCTTATTATAAATAAAATTGTGTTAATTTTAATAATATGTTTCAAGTTCCAACAATAAACTGAAAGTGTAATTTATGTATTTATGGTGTATAATATATCACAGGGAGGTTAAAAGCAATTGTTGAGTCGTGTAATTAAACTCATCATCGCATAATATTGAAACAGCGGACGGGATTTTTAGTTGACTCAAAACTTACATTAGTTATGTGCTCAGAGGAAAGTTGGAGCCTTCGAGCATCCAACTGAATCCGCTAAGAGCCACAGTCAGAGTGAGGCAGTTTGCAAACATAACTTAACTCAGATGCGGATGCGGAATAGAAAGATTATTACTTTTTGAATGTTGATTAAAGGGAAGTCTGCACCAGAATAAATACACGTTGCCGGAAGTTCGACGGATGCAAATTAGCGGTTCCTGATTAGATATGCTCCGTGCGGTGTGGTACGGATCTCGTATTGTGGAGAAAATTTGGCGGTGATCATCGACGGGGGTGGCGGCTGATAATTGAAACGCTGTTCGGTTCGCGTTACATAATTCGCGACGAGGGATGGAAGTTAATTTTTCCACATGATCTTATTTGTATTCGGGCTGTACGATGCATAAAGGAAGACAAAGAGATTTATTTTGCAGCTTCCAAAAAAAAAGGAGGAAGTAAGAAGGAGCGTAGAGGAGAGGCGAAGGAACTATGTCGAAGGACTGAAGGCGGCATCAATGTGCGGAAGGGTGGTTGTTCGGGGGTTGGTTGGGTATGTGAAAGGGACGCCCGCCACTAGGAGATTTATTATTTTATCACTTTTCATTTAAAACGGGCGAACGTTCGGTTCAGTATATATATTTTTTTTAATGGTTTTTAAAAGAAACAAGTTCGCGGCAAGGAGCGGGACAGACGTCGATATAGGAGCGCACGAAATACGAAGGACGATGTTTTTCTGAATAAAATAGAATTTGTATATAAAATCAAGATATTTCCTTTTGCCTCCGAGATGACTCCTTATAAATATTAATCTTCTTTTCCTTTTGATTTTAATAATGTCTCTGGAGGAACTGTTGAATATTGAACTAATTTTCTGTCCCCGTTCTTATCATCGGATCTCCCATTTTTTTATATTTCTTTTTCTCCAGATTTTTTTATTCACATTCGTATTCATTCCAATAGTTTTTTTTTTATTTATATATATTTTACAACCACCCAACTCAACTCCATCATTAAGTGCAGATTTTACATATTTTCTAAAAATTTTTCAAATCACTCCATATTATTAACGTGACCATTAATTTTTACATCTAAAAAAACGCATATTTTTTCATAGTTTCTATTTACCAATGAAAATACAAAAGAAAAAATGTTTTGGTCTTTTATTTTTCTGAATAACAAATTTGCTTAAGTATATTTGGAGTAGATTTAAAACTAAAAGTTAATATTTTAAATATAATTAAAATGAATAAAAATTACAAGTTTATTTTTAGTAATTTTATTAAAACACATTTTCTAATTACTTGAAATATTTAGGAAAAAAAATCAAAATTAGTATGAATTAGAAATTGATTTATTCGATCATTGAAAAAGAACAATAAATTCTATAATTACTTATTAGATATTGATTATAATCAAAATTTAAAAAAAAACAAAGTTTAGTTTTCATAATTATATAAAAAAAATATTTTTCCAGTTCATAATCATTTAATCTTTCATTAAATAAAGCAATAATTCTAAAAATAAACTTGGAATATTCATAATTACTATACATAATTAGGATTAAGTGGATTAATTATCCAATGAGAGATAAACGCTTTACTAATTTACGACAAACAAAAAAAGTTTGTCGTTTGTTATTGTAACAATCACCAGTTTATAACATATAAAAGCATATTATAATATTATTTAATTAGATAAGTGAATAAGTTAGAAGTTTTATAACTCATTCAAAATATTCTGAATAGGACAAAAACAAATTCGTAGATATTTGCGGTTACTTGTTATTATTATATAGCATTTTCTTATATAATTAATTACCTAATTATTGTATAATAATAATAATACAAAGGGCAATAAAATTAAGATGCTGTGGATTTGGGAAACGATGATTTTATTAAATGAATTATGTTCAAAATATTTTTTTTTTGTATTTATATTTCATGTTTTTTTTTTGTGAAACATTGAAATAGCGATGGAAATTTCCTTGCGTGCGGAAGCCGATTGAGGAGTAATCAGTAATAACAATAATAGTAAAACGCGTCTGGATTGGAAAAGAACGCAAATGATAATAGTTTTTTTTATTATTCCTGTTGGAACAAACAGTTGAAAGGATTCTAGGCTTTTTACTTTGTGGTTTTTGATGGAGCGATATTAATGCTCTATTAATGTATTGATGCGGTACAGAGATTAGTGCATAATGGAAACTAATTAAATATTACCATTGGCAGCGGCTAATGGAAATCGATGCGTCTATTTAATCGGTAATGTTTAAAGTGAAACTTATTGTTAAAACCTTGACGCTGACACGGAATATTGGAACTATGCGAGTTTTTGGCCAGACATTTCAAGCAATTAACCATACTTTTTTTCTAATTGCCCTTTGAAAGTGCTCTTGCGACCTCCCTTCGCTTCGTCCAACACTAATGAGTAAAAACATTAGGTCAGTTTAATTTAATTCCCTTCAGATATTTAAAGGGCGGCTTTTGGGTAGAGAGAGAGAGATAGAAGGGAAAGGGAAGGCGACGGTGCTTCCACCCTCAACCCTCTACTGGACGCTTAAATAATTATCGGATTTTAACTTAAACCGCTTGTGGTCGTTTCATCTTCTTCTTCTTTTTTTTTGTTTCATTCTTCATCTTTTTGCAGGTCTACATTTCCATGTGGTTGGCGAAGGGGTTGTTCGTGTTCGCACCCCACGGCAGGAGCGAGTCTACGACCGGGAGAACTATATAGATTTCAGGATGCGGCTACTAGGAGAACCTGGTAAGTGAACAGATGGCTGTAGACACGCACCGCGATCCTACATCATTCCCTTCTTTTACTTATTAACTTCCGAAAATGTGGTAAAACTAAAACACATCCATTCATTCATGCCCGCAAAATATTTTATACACACAGCACATCCTCCTCCTTCCAATTCTCCTTCCTTTCATTCCTCGGGAACACATTTCCTTTTCAACTTCATAACCCATTCAACTTAACACCATCACACTGGTGTTTCATTTCTGCCCTCTGCAAAGAAACAAAATAAAAACCCTTGCAAACATCCATTTCATTCCTTTCTATATATATATGACTTTTCCGCAGTTTTAATAACAAATTTTTCACTTTAATTTCCCAATTCATTTTATCATCCCTAAAGTAATCGACGAAACATTTCATCTTCTATTCAAAACAATATTTTTCAATTACATTTTGTCCATCCTTTTGTCTGATATATTTTGTATACTTTTTGTAACTATATACTCTATTGACAAAAGACCAGAAGGCCAATAATAAATATTGTTAAAATAAATATTAATTATTATTGCAATTTCAATATTTTTTTTATTTGTTTGTAAATTCAACAATAATTATAATAATATTTCAGGCAAGAAAAAATAATTTTAAATTTATTTAATTTGTAAAAATTTATATTTTAATAAATTATATCACAATTTTATTGATTTTTCATATTCCAATAAATAAAGTAAACAGATCCAATTCAAATGCAGAAAGTAAATGAATTCAGGATATTCAAGGAAAGTTGTTGAAGCGGCGTTGGGGAATCCTGAAAGTTTCCTTTCCGTTCCTTATGAGTTCTACGTGTGGATAACGCGTTTATTTTCTGTTACATTTTTATCATTTCACATTGAAATTCATGCAACATGTTTTACGCTGCCATTTTTATTAGGCGATAAAAATGGAAGAGTTTCGACGCTCAGAACAAGAAAAAAAAGCACACACATACAAGAAGTTTATTGTGGAAATCCAAGGAGATGTAACACAATTCCCAAACGCCAAAGCCAATTAAAACATAACCGCTTTTTGTTTTTATGACTTTTGCACTTAAATACATTAGTTGTAACAATTAGTTCATAGTGTTAAAGATAAATCTATTCGATTTTCCGGTTAATTTCGGTTTTCGGTTTCGGTAATAATATTGCAAAAAAAATAATAAAATATTTCATTTATAGAAATGCTTAGTTATGTAAAATACAATTTCGTTTATCCGATAATTAATAATCACTGGGGGAACCGTGACAAAATATAAGGAATTTAATTAATTTCACCCCATCCAGTTTCAGGAATGTGCTTGAATTTTTTTTTCAACGATGCCAAAAAATTTGATTCCAATTTTTAAATACTATATATCAAATTCCCAATTTAATTCGCTTTGATTCTGATTTCAACATATTTATTTATTTGTGTTAGGTCAGGGTCCTTCGGTGTTGTCACCTGGAATTCACAGTTTTCCGTTCAAGCTTGGACTGCCTTTGGGATTACCGTCGACGTTCCTGGGAAAACATGGATGGGTGCAATACTATTGTAAAACAGCTCTGAGAGAGCCTAATGGTTTGACTCATAAGAATCAGCAAGTGTTCATAGTAATGAATCCGATCGATTTGAATTTGGAGCCATCGATACTGGCGGTAAGTTGTCGTTCAGTAAGCTTGTCCTGTTGATATTTATATAAAGTTTAGAATGTTTCCGATCAGCAAGCGTTCAGGTGCGAGGTGGAGCACAAGTTTGGGGTGGCCTGCGTCGGATCGGGACCTGTCGTCTGTAAAGTGACGCTGGATAGGGGTGGTTACGTGCCGGGGGAAAGTATAGGTGAGTAGAAGTCTTCTCCCTTCATCCATTCAACTCATTGTTTATGTCGCCAGGGGTGTCAGCTAGTGTGCATAATCGTAGCAGAGTGACGGTGAAGAGCACCAGGGCCGCCCTTACGGAGACAATCACCTACATGGCTAAGGGCAAGGTAGTGCAGTCGGAGAGGCGCGAGCTCGCATCCCTCACCCGAGGTAAGATCAGGCCCGGCGAAAGGGACGAATGGACCAACGAGCAACTATACGTGCCCCCGCTGCCCCCAACGAATTTAAGAGGTTGTCATCTTATTAAAATCCAGTATGATGTATACGTAAGTTCCCTCTAAAAATGTTAATTAAACAGCGTTTCATTTGTGCGGCCGGCCGCGATAAATTCCGGATTTTTATTTCCAAAAATTATAAATCACGGCGCCGCCGCCCCCCGTACACATTTCTTTTTAATTATGCGCGTAAATCACGGTGCGGGAGGAGGTGTGGGCGCTGACGCCGCCGTTGCCCCCTCAAAAATACATCAATTTGTTTAATTGCAGTTCATAATAGAACCGAAGAGCTTCGAGAAGGAGGTCAAACTGCAGTTACCCATCATGATGGCAACCTATCCCTTGCGGTCTTCCGACGACGACACCCCTGCCTACAAGGCGGGCACCCACTACCCATCCACCCTTCCCATATTCCGACCCTGGCTTGACGACAAGCCAGCCATAGACTGAGAACCACGTGCCATATCTATTTTCATCCGACGCAGAAACACCACGAGCGTACCACATCTTAAACATCCTTCTTCTTTATACTACAACTATAGTAGTATATCGACGGTTCTTATTTACAACCAAGCGTAGCATAGCTTTCAACAATGTTCCTTCAATTGTCGCTTTGTTTCACACATTCAGTTTCATACTAGTATTGCATTGTCATAGGTATTGTACAAATCTGCACTTATTAATTTACACAAGACAATGTTCAATACTAGAACCCAGTTATAATATAAACGAAAATAATTAACTAATGTAACAAATCACAACCATTATCACATTTCCATAATGAATAGAAGTCGTGATACCCCTAGACTTCTATTCATTATGGAAATATGACCTTGAAATAACTTTTTTTTTAATAACCAGAACTAAGACAAAGTATGAGATGTTAAATGAAATACAGTAGATTCTGCATAATTGGGACACATCGAGACTAGTATATTTGTCCCGACTAAGCGGCTGGTCCAATTATCCGAATATATTATATTAGTTCTTCAAACTAAGTTAATTATTATGTAACAATCACATATTTTAATTACAAACAAATTATAATTGCAAAGTTAACATATAATTAGATGAAATATCAGTTATAAATTTACAACTTTAATTAATTATTTTACAGACTTTTGATAATTAGTGACAATTTATGTAAATAATTTATTAATCAAGGGAAAAATTAAAAAAAAAACTATATTTATAAATATTACAATTGTTAAACATAAAAATGACAAAAGGTAAGATCTTGAAAGTAGAAAAAATAGTTCAAATAATAATTATATTTAAGTTTTCAATTAAATAATTATTATAAATATGGTATATTCGAAATTACCAATAAATTACTATTATTGAACAAACTTAGTTCGTATTAATTTGACCATGAAATAAAATGTACATTCTTATTAATATTTTTTAATAAAGTAAAGATATAAAAAGTACAATATTTTAACAAGAAGTGTAACATAATATGTTTTCAATAAGGATTTTAATTAGACTAAAATAACTTTTCACCAAAAGTAAAAAATAGGTAAATTGGAGGAAAATATGTGCGTAGGATGGAAATATATTAGTGATATTATTAACTAATAGATACTGAGTACATAAAGAAGGTTGTTGGTATAACAATCAAGACCTTAACAAACGAAATTAGTTACCGAACAATTAAACCGTTAACCCGCTTGTTAACAACAATGAGTAACAAGGATTTCTGAGAGACGCAACAAGGACAACTACGATGAGAAAGATACGAAATAAATTCAATATAAGAATAGCAATAAAAATGGAAGTTAATCGAAAAGGACACATACTGGTGACCGAAAACGCACGTCCGCACATTGCGAAATCGACACGTGACACAATAACCGGGTAGCTTATTCCAAACGGAATGTTTGCCAACCCGACCAAACCTCCTTTAATTGCGTTATGTAACGAACATTGAAATTGAAGGAACATGTGTGCATTTCTTCATTTTTATTTTTCTCCAGTACAACTATCATTTTAACGTTTACATATTGCGCATGCATCGTCACGAACGGAACTTATATAATCCATGCTGCATGCGAGAGACAAAGAGAGAGAGAGAGAGAGAGAAAATAAGTAAATAAAAATATATATATATAGTGCAGGAAAAAATCGACACAGATTTCTTTTCTTTGCGCGAAGAAAATTTTTAATGAAAAGCCGTCCCCCCCAATTAATTAATATTATTAATGAGCTAGAAATGCAGAGCACTATTGATCTGCATGCTGTGAGTGGCTTAAAAATAAATCTTATGTGATAAATTTAGGCCGGAACGGCGCGGCGATATACAAAAAAAGATAAAAATAATAATAAGAGCATTGTAATTATATTATTTTTTTCTACTTTTTTGTTTCGAGTTTGTATAGGAAACATGTATTAACCGTGAAGTGAATAAACTTAAACTTTAACCTATTGATTAATTCTTTGATACACCCTCATACTTTTACAATAAATATAATAACTATTCTTTTTTTATATACATAAACATTTTTCACAAATTTGTTACTATAAATTCAAACATTATATTTAACATTTGTGGTTGTTCATTAATACAGTAAAACGTGAAGACAGTTTTTTCAACTTTGACAACTTCTTACGAAAAAACGATAATTGCTACCAATTTTACAACTATAATTAGAGTATTTACACTAACAATTAGCATGTGTAGTTGTTTTGTAAATTTTGTTTAAAATATTCTTGAAAAATTTGAGTATTTTATAATTATTTATTAACAAATATAAATAAATTGTATAGAAATGCATTTTAACATTACACTTTTAAAAAAATCGATTAAAAACATGAACTTTGCAACTTTTGCAAAATATATTTGGTGATAGATGATTAAAACCTTATATTTTAAATTAATTAGAGTATTCACTGTTAAAATTGACATTTGTGGTTGTTGAGTTACACAATAAAACGTAAAGACAGTTTTTTCAACTTAAATAAATTGTGTAAAAATAAGTTTGAACATTACACTTTTTTTTAAAATTGTATTTTAAATAAAGTACATATTACTTTGCAACTTTTGTAAAAATATATTTCAATAAAATATCGGTTGTATTGGGTCGAAATAAATGCGTGCATTACGTCAAGTGCACAAATACTAATTTAAGTGGCTCAATTTATACAAATTGCCTGGCAATAAAGTTATTTAAGTTTCGCTTTAAAAAAAAAGAATAAGTAAGGAAAGAAAGAATAAGGAAAAAGTTACGTTCATCCGCATTTCCTTTAGCGCACCTTGAATGGTTTTTGTTTTTCTCATCTTATTTCACATTGTATTTGTATTTCATTTCTCTTTGTTTCCTTCTTTTCTTTATATTTTTAGACTTTCTTATTTTTTCTCGAAATAATTTCAAGCAAAACGCGCATCGATTTCCATTTAACTGCCGCATCATATTCGAAACGAGTGCAGCAAAAGTTTTAATTAAACAAAGCAATTCGGAATCATAATTAGGAAGTTCGCGCACTTGCTACGAAAATCTGCTTAAATATTATATGTATATTACTTATAATTAACGCCACGAGCGATTTTAACAATTAGGACGTACATATAAATCGATTACGTTGAACTCCGATTTATTTATTTACTTTTTTTTGTTTGCTTTTGTGTGTTTGGAAATCGACGGAAAACCGTGTGCACGACTCTCGCAACATTTAACTTAAATTATTTACCATGGTTAAACTCATTGGTAACTGGCTGTCAGCGAATGGTGCGAATTCGATTCGCGTTAAGTAATTGATGCAGTGCATCAAAACTTTTCCCTTCAGCAAAACAAATGTTCCTGCAAAATAAAAACAAATGTTCCTCAAAAGCAAAAAGATAGGGACAAAAACAAATAATACACATACACGAAAACCCATGAAAACAGAAACAAAAACCGGAGGGGAAACGCAAATAAAACGAAACATGCACACGCGAACATTTCAATGATTTTAGTTCGGTACGTATGAATGAAGGCAATCTCATTCGGAACGATGTATAAAACAACTGCATAAAACAGTACAGCTGTACACAACTTTTCGGCGGAAAGGGAAATCAATAAGCTTAGAGTCTAAAGTACCTACATACTTTTTTTTTGCATCTCTTCAGATCTTTTTTTTTCTTATAATAAGCAATTCAATTTATATCAAGTGGGTTAATTCTCATTATTATTATGTGATCCGTGAAGTCCTTCCATAATCCAAGTGGAAAACGCGTTTTAATAATATGAAATTCACATCGTTATGAACTTTCAATTTTATGATTTTTATAAAAAAATATATTTTTTCAGAAAATGAATTTCAGATTTACATTTTTTTTGTCAATTTGTGCAATATTATTTTAAATTAAATATTTATAAACAATTATTCAAATAATTTCAGCTCAGTTAATGATATTATATTATTATACAATTAGTCAAATGATATAATTTATATTTCATTATATGATAAATGTGGTAAGTTCAAAATAATTAAAGATTAATTTTGGATATTTCAATTTAAAATAATAATTATTATTATTGCAATAGTTAAAGTAGACAAAATTTCAAAAATGAAACATAGAGCATTGTTTTGTAAGTTTTTTTTTGCATTTTAGGTAAACACATTGGTAATGTAAGGAAACATCTGTATAGGATAATTGAGCTGTTAACGAGAAATTGATGTTTGTACGGAGAAAAGTAAACATATTTTTGCTTTTATCGAGAAATTTTTATGGGTGGTAATTATTTCATAATTTTGTGTGCCGATGGGTCCGTCCCGTCGTAAATGCAGCGAAGGTCTATGAACATGTGTTTGCGTAGTACACCAAAGCCAGAATGATAAGAGTATCCCAGGGATCAAGAGGGCAACGCGCAATGTTTCTTACGTCTTGGTTGAGCTCAGTTGGTTGGTGAAAACAGTGAGGAAGAAAATAAATGCAGAGACAGTAAAAATGATCCTGTAGATCAGTAACAATTCGTGGAGACATCGGTTCACATCGTCAATTCATGCAGTTACATTGAGTGCAACGAAATTCGTACCATTTACTTATTGATACAATCATAAATCGTCACACATAGGACCACATCTATAGATGCGAGTTTGAACTTTGACACTGTTTCGTAGAAGGCCGCGTGCTGAGAGAGCTTAGCATCCTGTCTAGGCGTCTTAATTCCCCAAATTAATGGACAACATGAATGGAATAATTGTGCTTGTTGTGGTGTCGCTGGTGGTTGCGTCGTGTGCAGCTGAAGATACGAAATGTAAGTTTTAAAATATTATCTTGTCACGAAACTAATGTCTCTCTCTCTCTCCCTTGTTCCGCTTCCTTCCCAATTCAGCCATCCCAAGAAGTAATTTACTTGCGACAACCTTGCACAATGCACACACGATTATTGATTGATCAATTGTTGGATGGCATGAGTGAATTACTTGAGATTGGATAATTGTCGACATCCCACGTTGTAGAATTGCAATTCACGACAAAGAAACTCGCAATGCGAGTTCATAACAAAGGGTTATTTTCGACTTATTACTTTTATTAACAAATTACATATTTCATTTTGTTGAACATAAGTTCTTTCAACATAATTTGATTATATTTTGAAATTATTTTTTTATAAACTGAAATAAATAAAAATCCTAATTCTAACAAACTTTAAATTGATGTCATTAAGGAATTCAGGATGTTTATTAATTAAATATTATGTTGCAGTGCATTCGAAAGATGAACAAAAATTGATTGCTGAGGGGGAGAAAAAGATCAGTGAGCATGTGCTCGTTATATTGGAGCACTATAAGCAGGAGGATCCAGTCGGACTGCCCGGGGCTCCAATTCCTGATCCTATGCCAATTCCTCCGCTGAGTCATTCTTTCGCAATGGGCAAAATGAACATGAAAGACGTCCAGCTGCGTGGTCTGGCCCAGTTCCGTATCCACCACGTCGACATTAACCTAGGCGAGATGCAGGTGGAAGCGGCTCTGACCATCGAGAAGCTCATAGTCAATGGCAACTACACACTAGGCACTTGGTTGGCAAAGTATGCTGGACCATTCACAGTGAAGCTAAAAGACGTCTTCGTGCAAGGTATATCCAGATTGGAAGTGAATCGAGTAGGGCAACTGGAAGCGCAGGAGATGAAAATGGATATAACTTTCAAGAATATCGATATGAATTTTGAAGGTCTTGGCGTTGTAGCCAATATGTTCCAAGGGCTCTTGAACTCTATGGGCACGTTCATTTTTGACTCCATCAAACCGTTTATCCTAGCCCAGGTTAACACGAATCTCCGAAAGGATATCAACGAACAGCTGCAGCAGTTCCCTCAGAAATTCCCTAACTCCATCTCACCGTTCGACCAAATCATCTCTGAGATGAGAAAGAAGGTCCGCGGTATGGGATACGATCCTTACAAGGTGAAGGACTACAATCATACCATTGGAATAATAGGAGTGGAGATGAGCCATACCTGGGTGACAGGCATATCCTCGTTCCATCGCATCGGCGACATCATCTTCAGTATCAGCAACAACACGGTCCATGCTAACCTAGACATTGGAACACAACGAGTGGAGGGCACGAGCAATTGGGAGGTTTCCTTAGGGGCTGGAATGTTAGCTCGCGCCGGAACCGTCGCCTTTACTGTTGAATATATAAAGGTAATGCCACCCATCCTATTACCTACGCATTCTTGACGCGAAACATTAGATTACACAATCATTACTCTTTTATTAACTTCCTGACGCTTTCTAACATTAAAACATACATACATAGGACAGTATTAAAATATCTAAAATTTATTATGTGTAGTTTTAAGATTTCTTACTCAAATAGTTTCTTGTAACAAAACGTTAAATTACTTTGATAAAACCCATCCATGTAATAGGCTTAGTTTAACTTTTGGTATTTTACGACCAACAACTAAATCTTAGTTTTAATTCGCAGGTAAATCGTAGTTTATGAGAATTAACGAAAGGTAGTTTGTTTTAAATAACAGCAAGAATTCATTAAAAACGGTTCGCGTAATATGATGAAACTTGGAATGCATAATTTAAAATAAATAAAATGTAAACTAAACGAAAACTTTCAAATTATACGCGAGATCAACGACTCTTCTAGGTGATATTATTGGTAGCGCCATCTACCGGATTGCGCGCAAAGTCATAAGTTATTTTAATTATGAAAATTATTATTAATTTATGCAATTATATTTAATTGATTTCATGTTAAAATCATTTATTTTTGTTCTTCATACCAATCTTAAGAATAATTTCCAACTATAGAAACAACAGATATCGGAACAGTGGATTGTAACTATATAGTTCATTTTAAAGAGATTCTGTGGGCCAAAAAAAGGTTGCCAATAAAAGGACAGGCGTAAAATTGAAACTGAGCACGTCTCCTTTTTTTTCCATCTTCTCTCTTGTTCTTTTTGTTGGAAGGGAATTTTAAAATAATTTGTGTGGAAAGTTGAAAAAGAAAGTCCTCTCGCATGTGGGCTGTTATGGCCGGGGGCAGTTCCCTGCAATTTGCCGCTCCAGGAAGTTCCGCAGAATTCCTGCATTTTAATGAAGCATCTCAAAACGCAATCAATTCATAATTCTATATTCACAAAAAAAAATCGGATACAAGCGCCAAATAAAAACAACAGCGTTATTTACAAGTTAAACATCTCCTGTTTTTTAAATTAATACAAATTTTCGTTCCATAATCATTATAAGAATCTGTTTTTTTTTTTTCAAATATAGTATAGTATGTTTGTTATTTTTTTTTAATTAAAAAATGGATTTCACTCAGTAATTCTAAATTGATAACTGATACTTTCCATTTTATATACTTACAATAACGGGGTTCGTTTACTTTTATCAATTAGAAATAAAAACGGGAATTAGATAAGCTGAGAGAAGACCTCGTATATTTATGATATTTAAATGAGTTTTCTTCGAGACGAAATAAAAGGGGACGTAGATCCTGTGTGTAGGATGTAAGTGGCATGGGATGGAGCGGCTTTAATAAATACCCCGAAATCTCTTAACATGGCATTTATATTGCTCTTAAATCTGAACCGAAATCAGTCAATTAATTTACGACGGCTAATGGTGGTTGGTCAAATAAAGGGAGAAAAATAAAAGCGGGCAAACAGAGAAAAAAAATATCCCAAGATTAATCCCAAGTATCCATCCTAGGCATCCACGACAGGCAATTAAGAGCTCTGAAATTATTCAAACAGTTGCTGCTTTAATCCAACATCATAATATTATTTGTATGTTGGGGATAATCCATGTGTCTCGCATGGAATATTGGGTTTAGTTCGACGAAGTCGTGACCGAAATATACTTGAATAAAGTTGAATGAATTTTTGGTCGTGCCTGAAATGCTATTTTCTTGTTCTTGTTCAGGTGCAAGTGGAGCTCAGTCAAACCATGGACACGAGGAATACACCGGTGCTGGAGGATATTCAATTAGAGTTGGGAAACATACAAGTGCGTTGCAACGGTGCAGGTACTTTGGACTACGTCGTCGAATTAGCTGTGAACATCCTACCAAACATACTTAGGTATCAGATCATGGACGCGCTTGAGTCGCCTATCAAGATGAGAATCCAGGAGGAGTTGAACGCAGTTAACGTTGAGAAGATGATCAATGAGAACTTAGCAGTCCTCGATGAACAACAAAAGACAGGATTCAAGGGAATGTTATAGTTTATTCAATTATCTTTAATAATACAGATTAATTTCGGATATATTTTTATATATTTTTGTTTCGTTTTTTTTTCAATTTACTTATTGTTTTAACAATAAAGTTCGAATTGGCTGCGGTGCGTCCTCGCACCATAAAATCAATACATCTAGCGAGTATGACACATACATATAGTTTATATAGAGTTCTATCAAGACGTTACAGGAGTCTGCCTATTTTTTTTGTTACATCGAATAAGCGGTAGATGGATGCAGCTTACTAGAGCGGGAAATTTCAAAAGTTCCCGCTACGTTCACTACAGATTCCTCTTATATGAAATTACATATGTTCAATGAATATATGCATTTTTTTGCGCGGGAAGGGAACATATTTTTATTAATAATATTTTATTCTTTTTTTTATATAAAAGTAATAGTTGAGAAATGTACAATTTCACATAGTACAAAATATAATTAAAAATATAAATAGCAAAGTAGGTACAATAAAATGAATGGACAGTATTCATATAGCTACTGACATAATTAGTAAATATACAGGAACTTAGGCTCGGATGCTGCTCGTACGGCGACCCAAAAAATATTGAAGCACGAATGTTCGTCGAATGAACTACACAAATCAGTACATATATTTTTAAGTAAGTTGTATGTATGTATAATAATAGATATATATGTTATGTTTATATATATATATTATACATAAGGCAAACAGTTTTCACTTGCATCCATCACATTATACCATCAATTTAAATACGGGGAGAATAGGGAAAGAAACACAATTTGTCCACGAAGAGTCATAGACTAGGAATAGTTTCGATGATAATAATTATATGGAAGATGCGCGAGGGAAGCCCCCGGGATAACGTGTCCCAGGTTCTGTGGACAGATTCTAGGATTATTGGCGTGTTGCGTAATTTTAAACTTAAACTGCTAATGAACACTGTATTCTGGTTGAGTTTTAGGAAAATATCCTCAGCAAACGGTCTGTATATATATCACTATCTTTGGTAAAAAAAAAGAAAAAAAACAATGTATATTTAAAACATAAAACACTTATAAACGAACTGTTAACGCATTTCTGAAACACCACAAGCAAGTGCCAGTTTGCTGAGAATCGAACTGTGTTGTGCCGTTACGAAATACTGAGATGTGATATGCGACTGAGAGTAGAACTCCGTTACTTGTTCGCGCCGACAAAACCGTTTGCCGTGGATGTATACGTTATGAACTCAATGTTCGTGTCTGGCTCCAATTCTTCCTCCTCCGAAGAATCAGAGCTCGCGATCGATGACATATTCTCGTCGTCTTGGTTACTTCTCAGGGGCGTTCTAGCGTCATCCTGACAGGGTGTCAGCGTGGAACGGAAATTCCGAGCCTCCATTCCCGCAGCACTGTGGTAAAAGGATATTTGGGAGAAGGTCTGGCTCGAGTCGTCCAGCAACATCTTGCACAAATTTATGAACGTAGGCCGATCACTAGGTTTATGTTTCCAGCAGAACCGCATCAAGTTATACAGCTTGTCGGGACAATTCTCAGGCCGCTCCATGATGCCTCCGTCAATGACATACCTAAGAACCTGATCATTGGAAAGCCCCTGGTAGGGCTGCGATGCCAAAGTAGCCATTTCCCACAAGACGACACCGTAACTCCACACGTCACTGTTACTCGTAAAAACACCATCCTTCAAACTTTCCGGTGCCATCCATCTTACGGGTAACAAGCCTTTAGTACCTTTTCTATAATAATCAGTCTCATAAATATCCCTTGTCATGCCGAAGTCACCAATTTTCACGGTCAAATCTTCCGCTACCATGCAATTCCTTGCAGCCAGATCTCTGTGAACGAACTTCTTCGCCGCCAAATAGGCCATGCCGTCAGCAATTTCAATAGCCATCTGCATTATCCGCTTCAAAGTCGGTGGCTGCTTCGATTTAACCTTCACGTCTACATCCGGTCGGTGCGAGCGTAGGTACGATTTCAAATCTCCGTTGGCCATCAGCTCCATGACAACTAAAGTAGGTTGACCTTGAGATACCACACCCAATAATCTAACGACGTAAGCAGTATCAAATGCTTTCATCACACTCGCTTCGTTCAGAAACTCTATCCTCTCCCTGCAATTGAAATCGCTACAGATTTCGTACTCAATAATGAAATCGTATATTTACCGATCAGTTGCGTGCTCATTAACCGTTTTGATTGCACATCTAGTCTGCGCTTTGCCTTTTATGTCAAGGGCAATCCCTTCGTAAACCATACCGAAACTGCCTTGGCCCAATTCCTTGATCAAAGAAATCTTCTCGCGCAGGACCTCCCAGTCGTCAGGCTCGTACACGGTGCTTACATACTCCGGATTCACAGTCTTGATCAAAGTGTTATCATTCTTATGATAAACGTTCTTGTACACCACACATGCCAGGACGACAATAAATGTCTAAAAGCAAACAAAAATATTAAAAAAAATCTAAATTAATACAACTTTTTAAAACTTACGAAGACGACTGCCAGTCCAATAGCAATTTTAGCAAGTTCAGAAATCCCAGAATTAGGCTCATCAATACTAAATGTGGAATACTTCGAATCGTCTAATTCCGAATACAGCTTCGAATATTCGCCATAGTCTGCTTGAGATTTGCCAATGACACGTAAGCTGTAATTACCGGGGTTCAATTTCAAAGTATACCGCTTATTATGCTTCAAATAATCCAAAGCAGTTATGCACTCCAGAATAGGCTGAGACTGAAAGAAATACGAATATGAAATCACAAAAAAATGCAACGAACAAAGAATACTAACATTTTCTATATCAAGCCGCTTGTACTCGATTTGATAAGTTAGGATATGGCCGTTCGGATCCAATGGCTCATCCCAGACGATTGTAACCATGCTCATACTCTTATTGGCAACCCTAACTTCAGTGATCTTGTCGGCACCAGCTGAAATCAAAACACTGAAAATTGCAATAAATTAACTCTAATAGTTGTATAATTTAACCTTTGCTCTCGGTTCGGGCGGTGGTTAAAGCCTTCTGACTGCAATAACTCATATCAGTTGGATCATCCTTATTCTGACAAGCTTCAATTGTAATTTCATAGGCCGTGAAGTGTTTCAAGTTGTCAATACGCAATTCTGTTTTCCCATACACCTTGTAACTGAATACAATGAATTTACCTTGCACTGCAAGTAAAAGAAACATAGGAAAATAATCGATTTACATAATTGTATTTTATGCGGCAATTACTGTCTGTTTTATTTTGTGTAGAGAAGGACCTGTTCTTAGATTCGTCATCCGCCAATGAGTTGTTTGGAAATTGCAGGTTGTAGTCGAGGTCTCTCTTGCTGCGATCTTTGTTTATGAATTTCTGTATCCTGAGAAATAACCTCATGTATTCTTGACAGCACATGACTCTCGTCGAACCACCTTACCTCTTTACATATACGAAGTTAATCAAGTTATCCTCGAACATCATTTGATTACTAACATCTTCAGCGTTCTGCTTACGGATCGATTGTGGTTTGTTTGGAGGTGCAGGTCTACATTCGCATGTATTGTTCTGCTGCTTTACAGCTGTCGATATTTTTGTCTCTGGCTTCGATACGGTTTCCCGATGCATACTGGCTGCAATGAAATAATTCACGGTTCGATTGCGAATCATCACGTCTCAAGAAACTCATGAATTCGCAAATAGTATTGCATCAAATATGTACATGATAATTACCATTTAACAATTAGATAAAATTATATTTAAAGTTGTGATCTAATATAAAACCAAATTATAAAAAGCAGATGTAATTTAAACCAGTTAATTTGATTTTTCATCTCCTGGGTATCCATCTCAAAGTACCATCGCGTTGATTACGCAATACACATTTTACATACACATCGTAAAATCCAATCAAACTTTCCTGATATATTTGGTTACATGTGTTTGATGCACTTATTCAAAGGACGTAATGCTAATGTTACATAGACAAGCTTTGAATTATTGAGTAAATAATTAAAGCCGACTTAATTATAGTTAGCTTTCGTACTAATTCCAAATTTGCTGATGTTTATTTTAATTAAAGGGTGTGCAAATTCACAGGAAACCTATTTATTTACTGCAGATGCAATCGACAATATTTGGTTTGCGAATTTAATTAACTCCTTCCTACGCTTGTTCTTTTCCAGCTTCACCAGTCGGAATCGAAAACACATTAAGTTGCGTTTAAATAAATATGAGCGTTCGGATTAATCGGTTGTACGGATTACGCAATGAGATTTTTAATTAATTCGCTTAATTAATCCCGAGGCAAATTTACATTTGTTAAGTAATAATAATAATCATAATTAAAGAGATATAACGAAGGAACAGCAAGTCCGAGTTGGCGGAGTGAAGAAATAAAGAAAGGAAGAAACGTAGACAATTTCATTTCGAGCAAACAAATATTGAAATGAAATTCAATACGGGGATGGAAAATGAGGGTCGTAAATGAGGGGGAACAGTTGCGCTTCAAAGGAATTATGAGAACCTTGAAGAAGTATCCTGCTCTCTTTCGACTCAATTAATGAAGGAACGTGCGTATTATGTTTTACCTTATAAAAATAAATTGTATGGTAATAATAATGAAAACGCAAGAATTTGCGTCGCTTTTTTCAAATTAAGGAAAGCAATATGAGAAAAAAAATACGTCAATGTTTACGGTACGGAGTGTCCGAGGCGCCAGAGAAAATCAATGAGACTTACGATTACAGTAATTTCTGTTGCGTAGGATGTCCTCGCGTTTCTGATCCCTCCTGATGCCTGTGATGATGTAGTAGGTAACGTTTCCATTGGGCTGCAATGGCGGTTTCCAGGTCAAATCGAAGCTGCTGCTGCTCGATTTGTCAGTCTTGACGATAATGTTGTAAGGAACCGAAGGTCCTAGAAAATTGATTAATTACATGATTTCAATTGTGCACATATAGTCTTTAGCTGAAGGCACTTACTGTCTGCCATAGTCCGGACGTACTGGATTTTGCTTTGGGCACCCGATTTTTCAGTGGCAATGGTATAAGTTCTTACATAGAAAGCATATTGAGTATACGGTTCTAAATGTGTCAATATGTGAGTCGGCTTCTGATTGTCTATGTAAATATCATCTACCCGCCATCTGCGCAATCAAAACAAAGTAATTTAGAGAAATAGGCCCAACTCCTTTCGGACGTCACGGAAGGAAGCTGGGTGCTTACCCGTCACCACCGCAGGCATCACGACCATCATACAGCGTGATATTCTGCTCGGGAGCTTTGATACTATATACCACATAGCCCAAAAGCGCTCTGTGATCCTTCATCTCGAAAGGCGCCCAAGCTAGGACAATCGCTCTCGGACCGCTGTTCGTCACATTGACCACCAGATTCTGTACGTTACCTAAACAAATTTGTTTATGGTACTCCGTAAAGATGGAAATACGTTTTAAGAACTTACAAGCAATCCGATCGCCGTTCGAGTTACTGGCCACGTCTCGTTCTTCGAATTCACTAAGGTTGGCCATCTCCCTCAGCGCTTCTATCTTATACATGCAGAGTTTCGGATTGAAGTGGAAGAACAGGCCGCCGTGGTCGATCTTCAGAGTTCGATTCTCGAAGTCCCATAGATCCTGCAGATTCTGATTGTCTGATACAATGACCACGTACTTCTTGAATTCGAGCGAGTTTCCCCGTATCACTTTGAGATTTTTGAAAAAGTTTAGGGAGACTAGGGGAAACGATCGGACAACTTTAATGTATCCATCAATTTCCTCAATCATGCTTAAGTTCTCCTCGAGCTCACTCACTACGCTACCTGGAATCATTCATGTTTATTTTTTTTAATGAATTTATTATTCACTTCCGGTTGTCTTCCACACTTACGTCCGCCGCTCCGGATTTGGATTTCTAAGGACCCGTTGATGTGCGTGCAGCCGCGTAAACGTTTCGCCGTCACAACGCTGTCTATGACCATACCTTGGCACTCCTTCTTGCATCTACCTATTGGGACATTTGAGGTAATCAAATTGGACTTTACACCAGGATCAACTGAACTGACCTAAGCAAGGGAAGCATTTGTGCTGGTCGTAATTCTCCGTGTAGTCGGAGGGACACTCCAGCAGGCATGATTTGTTCAGCGTCTTGTAAGGATACTCCTGCGGTATTGTATTATACTGCCTCAATGGTCTAGGTGTATTTATGCATTCCTCCTTTGTGACACATCGCCTTCCCAAATACTAAAAACGTGCGAACCACATAAATTATCAGAGGATTCATATGGTTGTGCGTTTATGATGCGAAGTGGCACTTGCCCAAAATCTACCCACAACACCACATTTCTATTATATTAGTTCTCCTTCCATCTGCTTAGCTTTCCACAATTGTCAAAGAAAAGTGATTGCGATTTGAAAACACACCCACGCGTGGAAAAACCATGCTCAACCTAACACTCTCCTAACATATCAAAACGGGCATTTGTGTGGGCCAATTACTCATTTCCACAACAAAAACCCACGGCTAGACGTTCGTCTGTCATGCCTAAAACTCTATTTCCAACGGAAATTTATTTATATTTATATTTGCTTAACCCTCCGTCGGTCTGCCAAAACAAACAATCGTCCGCAATATTTGAATTCCGCTCTGAAACATTCATACACGTTAGTTGTAATATCGCGTGTATCTAGAGAAATACTGCGCAAACGGTTCGAATCAAAAAATACTTTATAACAATTATACTTCTACAACTTCGCAATTCGATCAACAAATAGACACGTGCTAAATGAAAGGGAGAAAAACGATGAAAGATAAATGAGGAAAATCGACACAAAGAGGACAATCGACGTCCTCAAAAAAAAGTTTAACAATAGAATCCCACCAATTTTGATTTGCTCACGTTCCGCAAATTGTGTTTCAATCGATCACGATTTATTTTTATTTTCCATGTGATTGGAGGACATGAACGTGTTTCTGTAAACAAGACGGATCTTCGATCTCGCTGGTGGAAACAGACAGTTTCCACTTGTCTCCTGTAATGATGAAATATGCGGTATGTTTCCTTCTATTTAGAGATATCGAGTAAACATTACAATTGGACTGCGGATCGGTGTCACATTCACCCCTTGAAATAGGTAAATATCAATTGAAATAACATACCCTCCAGAATTTATACATACTACTCCAGAAATTATCCTCGTTGCGCTATGTTCAAAACTAAATCTAGCGAAAACCAATATTGTAATAACGCTCGAGCAAATATTTACTTTCTGCAGAAATATACTTTAATACTTTTAGGAATTGTATTTTAAATCGTTGAACTAAATCTGAACACTCGCGTACATATCAAGATACAGTAATAAAATGTAAATAAATCAATATGCGTATCTATAATGAGTATAAATTTAAATTGAACTTGAACAATATTAAGTACAAAGTCGCTTGAACTTAAAAATTAGTTTCCAGTAATTTGTTGATTTGCGTTTATAGTATATAGAATTATAATGATGGCAGGTTTATTTACGTATGCGATTGAAGAACTGTACCATATCTTTCAATGAATCATTCAAATGTATGAATCAATTTCCAAGCCTAATTGATTCCGGAAATTCCTAGGTATGGCGATGCGGCGATTTCGAAGTGCAGCCCACGTCCGACAAGTGAACATCACATCACGTTTGTCCGAAATGCTGAATTATGTATGTCTCTTAATATGACATTAATAAATTTAATATTCTTTTCGACTCGTTTAAAATACACATGCGATCGAATAAAACGTGTAAACGAGGCGTTTTCCCAATGCGCTGAATTATTTATGCTTTCCCCTCTTATTTAACATCATATACATCGCATCGTCACTCTTCGCGCGGGAAAATCGACGCAATTCCAGTTGGTATAGCCAGTCTTTTTAGTATCACTACATGTTTCTGTCCCCATACTTTCCGGAACTTTAAACAACTTCCTCACTCCTAGACATACCATTAAATATACATTTCTAACAGTACTAAATAACAATTGTCTTCTAGTAAATAATAATAAAAATGTTTGAATCATTTAGTTAATAACTTTCTCATTTCATTTTATTGTGAAAAGACCATTTCATAAATAAATTATAATTGGAATTATATTTTTGTTATTTTTTTTTATATTCTGTATATCTGTGATTAGTTATGATAAAAATATAATTAATAATCATTGGAAATTTACTGTCATCTAATAATGAATGTTCTTTAAAAAATAATCATTTTTCAGAATTGGGAATTAAGGTTTCAGATTGTATGATAAGGTAATTAAGTATTTAGTTCAGAAAGTGCGTTGAGTAATATATGCAATGAATTACCTCATATCTATCAGCTGGACAATAGCTGGTACAAGTACCATCCTCGCCCATGGTAAAGTTACGGCAAACGTGGCAGACTCGAGGGTTATCCTCGCGGCATCCACCTAAGCACTTTTCATCACAACACTTCCCTTTGGCGTCGCACGTGGTCTTGCAACTCGAGGGACACACCTTCTGGCAATGCACCCGATTCCAACATAGGAATCTCATGATGCCATTTTTGTTCTTCGAGGCCGGGCACAGGCTGCTACTCTCTTCATCCTCGCCGGGACAAAGTGGACACTCGTTTTCCGCCTTAATGTTCTTTATATAGTGTTCCCCTTTCTCGTGCGCGATTTTATCCCAGTCGATTGAGTTGACGAAGCATAGTTCTGGATTCTTGTCGATGCGAATGAGACCGGCCTGAATATCGGTGAGTGAATACAAGCCGACCTCCTGAAGACCGGACAGTTCGTAAATGATGAAGGAATATCCTAGCACGGTGTCCTGACCTCGGATCACCGCAAGATTAGGGAATAGCTGTCCGACGCTCCTCAAACCGTGCACCCTGTAGAGGAGCAAGAAGTCCGTGATCTCGGTGAGCTCCGGGAAGCTGATACCCTCGAATTCGGTGTCCTCGACGGCATCAAACAAGGAAATCTGCACGAACCCCTCGACCACTCGACATCCTCTTAGATTGAGCAGAGCCTGCATAGAGTTTCGCACGTCGATACTCTTGCAAACTGGAAAGTAGCGGTACAAAAAAATAATGTATATATAACAAAAGAGTTATGAAGAGAAGAGAGCTATAATCGGATAATGATCACTTAGGTTTTGTAAACTAGACAGCGGAGCGAGTGGGAGAGAAGGGAAATGGGAGCGAGATTGCGGCGTCGAGGAATGCAGTTGACCGGACGGAATTCGCGACTCTTGGGTATTGGTCAATTGTTGAGCTGGGCCAACCGCGAGCGGTAACTGTTGCCATTGTCATCATCATCCTTGTCGTTGTCCCCTTTGCAGTCGCGGGGACAACAGGATCGGAATTCATTCATGAAAGTTTGTAACGTATGCATCGTTGGATGGGTATATGAGCGGATTGTTGAATGCATACGCGCACAAGCGTGTTGTATACGATGCAATTGTACTTACTACCGCTGGTATTGGAGTGGATGTACGCGTGGGCCTTGGGGCTGAGCCCAGCGGTGATGGGCATCTTCTCCGAGGTGGTCGGCGTAGAGCTGATGAACGCGAGCAGAGCCCCGGCGAACAACAGGGCTCCACCAGTAGTTAAGCCCGTCGCGGCCATCAGTGGCGGCAACAGGAGATGGACATGGGTCCGTTCGGACCCCAACTGAACCTTCGTCTTCTTCTTCTTCTCCGCGTTGACTCCGAGCTTCCGATGGAATGTTCGTAACTCGATGTAAACATGTTATTTACAGCGAGCGGTTCCAAAACCCAACAGGTCGCGGCTCCTCGCCAATTGCATCCTCCGTCATTATGATCTGGAACATACAAGTAGGTAGATTGAGGTAGTGTTCAATTCTTCTTTTTTATTTTTAATTGTTCGTTTTCCCCCTATATTTTCATTTCTCTCTTTTCTTCTTATTTTTTTAAGGAAACCTGGTGAAGCCTGGTCAAGTAGTACACTACGTACATATCCTGCGTACAGCCGCAATGAATGAATTAAACCGCGCACAACAAACAAATATAGCCTGCCCACGGGCAGACTCTCTGCCGCATCAAAGTCGAAACACGCCATACCATGCCATTCCTTTCCGTGCCATTCCAAGCCATGCCACACCAATAATACTATATGACCAGAGCATACATACGCACATCCAACCATACATACAAACGCTCACACACAACGGCACAGCCGGATACGGATACTGGAATACTAAATTACGATACCAACGGCAGCAGCACACGCATTCATTCATACCATCGTCATACGACGGGCCTTCCCAATCAATAAACACCACATACGACCACAAAACGTGAACAACGTGATCATTTACCAGCACACATCCCGCCGTTACATAAGAGATCGCGCACACATAAAAACACTCAATCCCATACAAACATGTACGTATACAAACACACACACGAGCGCGCGCTAAAATATCACGCGAATTCCATTCCACATACCGAATTTTCAATTTACGACTTCGCTATTTATTAATAGTGATGCCATTTTACTATGAGACCTTTATTTTTACATCCAAGTTCAACAACAAGTTGTTCGCTAAAATGTTGCTGCCGCTCCGCGAAGAGATGCGGTTTTCGGCATTGGAACTATATTTAACCGGCACCATGCTTACTCCTAAACACATCTATACCATAGCATTATCTTTTAATAGCGCTCACATGTTACATATTGTACAATAATAGATTGAAATCTCAATGAAAAAGTAAATAACAAAGTTCGTACATAAACAAAATTTATATTATTTATAACAATCCCCAACTATGATACATCAAAAAATAGTATTTGAATATGAAAATAACAACATAAGAATAAATAAACAAAAACGTATTTGATAATTTTTAAAGTCATTGACATACAAATAAAGGTATGCAAATCAATATTTATTTGAATATAAAATTATTTTACTTTACAAAAGAAAAGTTTTTATGTTGCAAATTTTCTGAATAATTTATTTCGCTTACATTACTCGTTTATACATTATTTACATATGCTTTTAAGTAGCTTAAATTCACGATGAAATACATTGTTGTTTGAGGGTTGTTTGTTTGCGCGGTGGTCTGCAAAACTTCTTGTTATTAATCTTTATTGAAACACTCTAAGTAGTCTGTTGATTTTCTGTGTACGAACTACCTCCGCTGCAATTTGCATAAAGAAAACAATTCAACAAATGCGTGGTATTTGCAGCACAATACGTCAAAAGCAAACGTCAGTAACTCTTAAAATTTACTGCTCATTTTTATTTTCTTGGGAGGAAAAAAATATTTAAATGGCGATTGGAAAGACTATAAATCACTTCACGGCAACTCCGCACCTGGACCGAATGCAATAACAAACAAAACCGAAGAAATAAGCTAAAACTAAGTCCGGTTTGAACGGACCCATAACGTTATATGTAAACTGGTATTTTCGCAGAAGTCATAGAAGTATTAATAATTAATGAGCCAAGAAGAATATAAAAAATACATATTTTACAAAAATTCCGGGAAACCTTACGTCCGGTTACAACATTTGAAACTAATTTCTTTAGACGATTTTTTTGTTGTTGTAAAAAGCATGAAAAGTAGAAATTACCTGATAACAAACATTTCAATCATAATAATATCGCGTAATGCATACAGCTAAGTAAACTATATAATCTAAAGTGTCAACATCATTATGTATTCGCTGTTTAAATATTTAAATTAATATGAAAAAAAAAGATAACATATAGCTCGTCAATGCTATGAATTTATCGTTGTTGTTGTCATTAAAAATTGCAATAATACAAGTAATTATTTGATATATAACTCGCGTCACTCATAGATAATGACCCATTTTTTTTCGTTGCGATGTCTTTAATGAAGAAGCTTGAATAGGTTAAATTCACATGTATATCTTTACCAAACAACGTTGGAACGTGTCTCTACAACTTAATCAACTGTACACATATATGCATAGGATTCTAACTGGGTTTTTTTACAACCTTTGCGAAAAATGTATCATGGCATAAGCAAATTTGCTATTTTAATATTTGCTCATAAACACGAGTTAATAAACTACAATAATATAGTTAAAGGTAAAACCTTTGTTTGTTGTCATTCAGAAAATGAACATCAAATGAGAGAATAATAATAATTCGCAGAAATATTTTCTTGTTTCTGTGATAATTGGAACATGTAAATGTTATTTTGTGTGCGTAAAATAATGGTCTAAATCAAATGATATCAATAAAACCTCCACATATTGCAAATATTGTCGCCATTTGCAATTATTTAAACACAATATAATAATATGGACAAAAATTTCTGGACAGCCGTTTATTAGGAACAAACCCTAAAATGGACCAATGAAAATGTAACTTCTGATAAATGGGCCAGCCGTTTAATCGTGATAAGATATAATAGTACTGATGTGTTCCGATTAAGCGGAAACAATTGATCAAATTTTAACGTATTTTGATCAATTATCCAGGTTTAAAGGATTAAGCCACTCAATGATTGAAGAACAAGAAAAACATGTGGGTTATGTATATACGTTAATTTGGTAACAAAGAACGTTGTTGTTCCTGCAGATTATGCTGAGTGCTTCTAAACGTCATATACGAACAGGACAAATGAAGTTTATTGGTAGCAATACTGAAACCGTTTGCCATTTGCTCCCATGCGCTAATCATCAATTTAACAGTCAGTTATCCATATTGAATATTGATCCGAACGGAATGATGTCACGGCATGAATGAATCGACTTGTCTAAATCCGTATTTAGCAACGTACGTATGTACGTTTCATTCATCGGCTTACAATGTCGCAAATGCGCGATAAATTTAATTATTATTTGTTTCTCGATGAAATTGCTAATAACTATCCTCCGCAGTGACATTAAAGCGAGCAGCGTAATTTGCATGCAATTAAATGGACGCAATGAAGGACAGAAAATTGCCGAAACGCATGCATACCCGAGATGTTATTTCAATAAAAATATGCCGGTTCGCACATATCTCTCTCTCTGTGCTACAGGTAGTTACGGCTTATTAAAGTCACTGAAATCACCGTTTTTATCGCGCTATCAACATCTCAAATGGAATATCTTTTAGATTCAATTTGCAACGTGATTCAATTCAAAAAATGGATGACGATGATGAAACTGCAACGTTATTTTATCGTTTTTGTTTACATAATACGTAGATTCGACAAACAATATGTATTTACAGAATGAAATTGTTGAACAATAAGTAAAATTTCAACACAAAAGTAAATTAATAAAGAATTTATAAATTAAATGAATCTGTGTATTCCACGTTTTTTTTTTATAATAAAAAGATACTTTGTAACAATGTTTAATAAGTAATGAAGTTTTATTATAAAAGCCGCAATATAATGCGCTTAAAGGTACGGTTTGATCAAAAGCTTAATAAACTGCTAAATGAAATAAAATAGGAAGGGAAGGCCATAATGCCAGAAGAAAATACTTATAAAGTTTGAGTGAAATGAAATTTGAGTCTGCATTAAGATCTGTAAATATACAGTTAACAACAAAGCAAAGTATAAGTACTACTTGTAATTCCGTACATTTTGTTCGAGTATTAGAGAAATTCTACGTTATAACAGATTTTTTATTTAAAAGATACAAAACATAAATATTAACGTAAAGTACAATATATTATGCACATAACATAATTTGGAAAATTTATTTTCATGGGGAAGTTAAAATATTGAATTTAGTTTAAACACGAAATGTTAAAAATTTTGTCAATTTCTTTGATAGAAAAATTAGTAAAACCAAACATATTTCCTAGTAAGCCAGAAAACATTTTACATTATTTAAAAGATATTTTAAATACAAAAATAATAAATAAATAATAAGAAATTTTGTAAAATATTTTATTCCGAGATAGCCGGAATTAATTTAAGATGTATAAATCTTCTGGTAATATCAGATGTAGTAATTTTGCCGCGAGCGTTTTTTACATTGTACAGGATTTGTATTTCTCTCCTAATTCCGTGGATTCGTGCCGTCATTATATTTAGTTACAGCTCATTAAAAACAGAGTTTTCGTTACATAAGACAAACAAACAAAGCACCCACACCGAAAAATATCGCATAACAAATGCCGCCCGATACTAATTGGGGAAAAAGGAATACTTCCCTGGATGATGATGATGGTTCACCGTACGTAGCAGATCTCCGATACCTGCACCCGGATTCCGGGCTGCAAACCACGACATTCCGAAACGCGAGCATTTGGATTCTTATGCAAATAGGGATTTGACCCTTCTTTCAGGCGGGTGATGTAACTGGCGTTCCTTCCATCGAGCAGCCGAAGTGGTGCGGCGCGGCGCGGCGTGAGCGCGGCTCGTTCTCTCGAGGCGGCTCGAGAGGCACTTGTATCTATCCTTCACCTTCAACCATCCAATGGTCAGGTTGAGGTTGCGAAAGGTTAGTGATCGCTTCGAAAATCACCAATCATCGGTCGCCTTAGAAAATTTCATTAAAACGTCGTTCCCGATCAGTTCCACCTCGAGTACAAAGATTACTTATCAAAGAGACAAGGATGGTCGTAATAATAAGAATGGTGGATGGAACACCGCAGAGGCGACAACGACAGCAATTATTGCTATTTGCACAAATGAAGGCAAACGCTCGATAATGTTGGGCAAAGAAGAACAATAAAAACTCAGGTGCAATTACCTCCTCCTCACCTTCACATCGCTTTTATTCGCGCGTTGTTTGCGAATTACTAATAATCTGAAACGAGTTATGAGGGGCAGCAAATATATATATAATATATATATATATAAGATACATGTATATTAT